CTAGCCGGCCAAGAGACGAGCTTAAGTAGAGTCCCCAAACTAGCCGGCCAAGAGACGAGCTTAAGTAGAGTCCCCAGACAGAAGTGCAGGGACAGAAGTCATAAGACATCTAAAGGCGCAAAACCTGAGAGAGCACAAAATGGCAAGAGTCCTAAAAGCGAAGATAGCCAGGAAAGGGGAGGAGCAGTCAGCTAATGCAAGAAACACCCCTCATGGGAGCAGACCTGCCCCTTGTTTTCAGACACCATGCAGAGAACAGGTCACCAACAAAAAAGAGGCTAGCAGCACCCAGTGCCCCATATGTCACAGGAACAGTGACATCCAGAGGTGTGACAGCCCAGGTCTCAGGGGTGGCTGAGGACCTAAAAAGGACTCCTGCGAGCAAGTAAGAGCTCAGACCCTGGGTGCATGCTGCTTGAGGGAACAGTGATCCTGACAGAAAGCAGGGCAGTGGGTGGCATCATTCAACATCAGGCCAGGTAGAGCTGTGCAGGCAGGGCACACAGCAGAGGAGGCCTATGAAGATGGCACAGGAATGGCCACTTCTCGTTGGCCAAGCTGCCCAGTGGCCAAGCACACCAACAAAGCTATGGGACTTGCAAGGGTAGTGTTATGAAAAACATGCACCATGGGAAACTCAAAGCTCTGGAACTCCACATGCCGCACCAGCCCCTACTCCCAGGCGTGCTGAGCCATCCACCAGGTCCGGGCGTGGTGTCACACATCTGTTATCCCAGTGCTTGGGGAGGCTGAAAACAAGAGGATCACTACGAGTCTGAGCTGTGCAATGAGAACCTGTACCAAACACATTAAAACAAACAAACAAACAAAAAAACCTTGGAACTTGACAGATATTGAGGACAGAAACACAGGCAAAGAACTGTAAAGTACGGCCAGGAGACTGGACTCCAGCAAACAGGCCTACATGCTGGTAGCTCTTATGACTAAAGTCTAACTTACGCTAACAAAATGTAAAAATCAGCCTATGAACTTACAACGTGAAAACTAACAAGTACAGAGATTTACAAGACACCCTTCCTAACCATTGTCCGATAAAATTAGAAATAATAAAAAGATAATCAAAATATTCTAACTACCGATTAAGAAGCATACTCCTAGATAACCTTTGACCCAAACTGGAGAGTAAAGATTACTTAGAAAGCAACCTAAGGGAGAAATCACAGCAAAGCTTTATGTAGAGAAAAATGCACAAACTAAAACACCTTTCCTAAAAAAAAAAATAAATAAATAAATAAAAAAATAAAACACCTTTCCTATCAAAGAAGAAAGAAAAAAGAATAAATTATATATTTTTAAGAACTAGCCAAATATTAAACAAAAAAGTAGAAAAATAAACTTAAATATAAAAAATAAATAAAACTGAAAATCAAAATAAATGTAAAATCTGGCTAATTAAAATGATCGTATGGATAGTGTATAGATATATTCCATATGATTTTAATTAAGAAAAAAGAGGAAAAGCAAAGAGAGACACACTGGACCCAGAAGGAAGCAGGGTACATGGATGGGTTTGAGGCAGTCGGGGTCCTACCCGCCTCCCCAGCAGCCACAGCCTTGCTCCAACACAAGCCAGCACAGCACAGTGCCTGTGTGGCCTCTACCTTGCCCTCCGACACACAGCCCACACTCACCAGCGCCCACCACTGCACTGCCTTCACTCCTGCCTCCCAGGCAGGGCTCCTCTGGCCCTCCTATCACTGGTCCAGAATCTGAGGACCTGGCTCTCTTCCTCCCACAACCAAATGTTCAGCAAATGCTGTATATGTATCTTCAAAACACAGCTGGAGCATTCAGGAAGCTGAAGCAGGACAACTGTTGCAAGTTTAAAACCAGCCTGGGCTACAAAATGAGCTGAACTGCATAGCGAGACCCCGCAGTCTGTCTCCCAGGCAGATTTTTTGAGACCCTGTGTCAAAAAAGACAAAGAAAGAGAGGAGGAGGGAGGGGAGGGGAGGGGAGGGGAGAAGAGAGGAGAGGGGAGAGGAGAAGAGAGGAGAAGCGAAGGGAAAGGAAACAGACCTGGAACTGAAACATTCAGCATGGCCTTCCCTGCCACCTCCAGGTCTCTGGACTCACTGCCCTGCTGCTGTCCCTCCCCCTCTCTGGTTTACCCTGAACACTGGTTGAGATGAACACGGTGTCTAAATAGATCCAGAGACCCTACCACCGCAGAAGCCACACGGAACCCCTGCAGACCCACCTAGGGTTGCCTGAGCCTTTGCTCAGCCTGTGAGTCCCCAAGGTGGCCCTCCCAGGCCAGCAGACTTGGCCTCCAGATCAGACCCTGCTGGGGAAAGCCCTTCCGGGCTCTCACATGGGCTCCCTCCCTCCCTTCAGCTCCTTACTGAATGGCAAACTTGTACTGATGCCTCTCAGATGCAGCCCTGAGCGTTCTCAGACCTCCCCCATTTCCTGCTCTCCTCCTCTGCAAACAGCTCTGGCTTACTGTACATTTTTCCTATTTTCCTGCTGCCTGACATCCTCTCTGTAACAAAAAACTCCACAAGAAGCACTTCATTGTTACGTTCAATGTGGTAGCCCCAATGCCTTCAGTTAGCGGCAAAGGCAGACACTTAGATATCTGTTGAATGAAGAAACACACAAGCGCCTGAATACAGAAGAGACGAAAAAAATTGTAAGAGAACATACATGCAGCTCTATGGAAATAAGTCTGAACACCCCGAGAATATGGAAGACTTCCTAACAAAGTATAAATGGCCAGACTGATCAAATTCTATCTTTCTCTCATCTTTCCTTCTTCCCCTTCCTTCCTTTCTTTCTTGGATTATGTAGTACACAGTTTTATTTCACTTATAAGTAACTGATAATCTCAGTGTTACATAAACAACAAAGCATAGAAAAAGATTTTTAAAAAAACTCTTCACTTCATTTTACAAAATCAGACTAGGGATGGGTTTCCAAAAGGTATCCATGAGAAAGTTGTAAAAAATTATTTTTGTAACAAAAAAACTGCACAAATTCTACACACATGTATACGTCTATGCATGTGCATGTATGTATATGCCGGTGTGCTGAGACAAGGAGAAAATGAGGGCCGGGGAGATGGCTCAGTAGAATAAGTGCTTCCTTGGCAAGCGCTAGGGCCTGAGTTCAATCCCCGGCTCCGCAAAAAAAAAAAAAGAAAATGAGGAAGTATATGTTCCAGGGGTCAACATGGACCTCCTGGGCCTGAGTAGAAACAGAAAAGCTAGAAAGTGTGTGTGTGTGTGTGTGTGTGTGTGTGTCTTCCTATGTAAAAATTATGTTTTATGAGTATAATAGTTTAATAAGAAATAGATGTAAATCAAGCTTCCTCAGACTGGTGCAGAACAAGTCCAGTGGGCTTGATAAACCTGACACCAGGCATCTGGCAGAGACCAGGGCTACATTCTCCTGTGTGGCAGAATGCCCCAAGACAGACATCAGGTGGGAGGTGCCAGACTCTCCCAGCACCAAGGAAACTCAGAACCACTCTGCAAGATGAACGAACTGCAGCCTCTTTTCCCAGTATGAGCAGGGGATTGAGCAGGGGCTGCAGAGGCCCAGGCCCAGGACGGGGGACACAACAGGGCTGAGAGGTACTTGCAGAACTTCGGTGCCTCCAGAGTTGGGGATCCGTAAGCCCTGGCACTCTGTGCACACAGCCATAGTCAGCTGGGTACTGGGATGCATGAGCACACACTTGGGCAAGAAGCCACCCAGGAGTGGCTGGAGATAGGGAGGACACCGGGTGGACAGCCCCACAGTAGCTACAAGCCTGGGAAGCCAGGGGACCCCAGGGACTCACCAACTGCACAGAGGTCTGCAAAACGGTCCTCACCCTCCTCAGCATGGATCAGGTCATTGCGACTCTTCTTGGTGGCAGCTCTCTTCAACACTGCTTTAAACAAGGGGATTGGAGATTCTGTGAGCTGCCTGCCAGATGAACCATCTGAGAGGACCTCCTAGATGAGGGTATGTACTCACAGAACAGGCTGCCTTGCCTGAGCCCCTGCCCCAAAGCTCAAACGGAGGCCAAGGCAAAACAATTCCAGGCCCCTTGGGCCCCTCTCCACCCTTGAGGAGGACACATGAGAACTTCTGAGGGTGAGTTTGTTTTCTCTTATCTTCCAAATGAGATCAGCCAGGAATCCTGGCCACCAGGAAAACCAGGAACATTCCCCTGGGACAAGCTGGGAAAACATTCCCTAGTGCTGACCTGCCCAGGGCCCCATTGTATAGCTCCCTTACCGAGCCATCCTGTATTGGCAACTGTCCCATTGACCACAGGGCCACTCCTTATCAAGAATCACTTACCATCCAGAGGGGACTTCTCCTCTGCATTCTTATCCTCCTCAGCCAGCATGACTTCCTCTACAAGAGACACAACCCTAGTTAGGGCCTTGCTGCCCTGTCCCAACAGGACAGGCTGCCAGCAACACCCACAGGTGAGTGCACACCCTACCTGGGGGTGCCCACCAGCTCTGCCCCAACACCCCAGCACCCAGCCTGTAGCTGGGCTGCTTTTGCCAAGACCCAGACAGTACCCTGTGCTGATCATAGTAGAAACACTTGTGAAACCCCAAAGGAGGACACCACTGACCAGGACCAAGGAAGAGAGCCACAAAGAATTCTCTCCAAGAAGCTAGAGCCAGGGATCTGGTCAAGGGCAGGGTCCAAGAGTCAAAGGTGTAGAAATCAGCTCTAGGCTGGGCCATACCCAAGTCCTCCATCCAAAAGCCCTTTTTTCTCAGTGCCCCATCGCTGCCTGGTACCTGGGCTCCAGATGAGCTGGAGAGAAAGGCCTCCTCATTACAAAGCCCCTCTCCACCAAATCCACAGAGGCAGAGTAGATTTGTAGACAGAGACAACAAGCAGGTCAGTAGCATAGCACCTGCCACCTTGGACTCTCACCAGCCTTGAAGATCCACTCCAGGTATCCGTTCAGCTCCCGCTCGATCTGCTGTTGCCGGCGAAGCTTCAGGAAGGCACGGCGATTTTCCACCCGTTCTCGCTCCTTGGCAAATTCTCTGAAGCAAGTAGGGGCATGGGAAGCAAGCAGAATGAGTGAGCACTGAGCCACACAGCCACTGGCCTACAGTCCCGGAGACCAAGGCTCCATGGGAGCCCCTCCAGCCAGCCTCTGCTAAACTGCATACTGCACACTGGACAGTTTGGGGCAGCTCTGCTCCCCAAGGGAACCTGCCTGTCAGCCTGGAACTACCCTCTTCAGACTCCAGTACTGAGGCACAGAGGGTTTCTAGAAGGCAGAGATAACCCCTGCCTGGATGCTAAAGGCCAGGCCTACTAGCTGCTGTTCACTAAGAACTCTGGCAAGAATTTGCCAAAGGATAATGTCCAAGTTATTTTCTGAAGGTGAGGCAAAAGCCACTGCTAGATGGTGGCAGGATAGACAGGAAGCAGGCAAGAACAGGCTGGCTGGACCACAGAGTGAAGAGGGAAACCCTGTGGAAGCCATGTGGTCTCTGCCACCAAACCTCTCACAATGAGCAGGAAAAGAGGTCCTCTGTACCCCGAACCTCTCTCAGCCTCAGCTCTTCACAGCCTTGTGACCAGCCCAGAACTGGTCAGCCCCAGCCTCCCAACCTAGGTCCCAGGATCAGAGTACAAAGGGAATCCTCTCTCTCTCTCTCTCTCTCTCTCTCTCTCTCTCTCTCTCTCACACACACACACACACACACACGCTCTTAAGTTCTTGGGCCTTATGGAGGAGGTCTTCAGGCCATAGTCCAAAGAAAAGCCTGGCTCTAACAGGAATGACCTTGAGCCCATGGCCAGTGCCCATCGGGGGCTGAGCTGCTGCCACCTGGGCAATAAGAGAGAAGAGACAGTTCTTCGCAGACCTCTAGCCCTGGCCCCTGCACATTCCACATCTCAAGTCTCTAGTAGGCAGGGCTCACTGTGGCCTCTACACCCAGGACAACTCCCTGGTCCATGCCCTGGGATGGGAGGGCACAGGCTGAGGGCGCAGCAAAGATACTGCTGGAGCATGAGCTCATGTGTGACTCCTCTCGCTCCCCACCCGAGAACAGAGCCTTACCCTGAGAGCACGCCCAGCACCAGATTAAGCATGAAGAAGGAGCCAATGATGATGAGCGGTATGAAATACAGCCAGTTCCAGGTGTTTCCAGCTGCATCATTTGTCTGGAAGAATGGAAGAGATGAAGGACAAGCAGAACACAGCCCTAGGCTCAAAAGCGTGCATGGGCCCTCCCAACCCAGGAAGCAAACACCATGGTACAGGTAGAAAATCCAGTCTCACCCCACGGATTCTCCCTGAGCTGGGGAGACACAGCCACAGGATCGGGGATACACAGCCCTCTGCCACTGCTCAGCACTGCTAAAAAGAGCCACCGCAGAGCCACAGGGCTACTCAAGGCTGCACACACCTCACCTCTGCCCTGTCCAACATTCGCTACCTACCTGAGCAGCTCTGAAGACATCTCCCCCCAGAAGAGGTTCAGAAGTCTGTGTTTAATCACCTGTCAGGCCACTTCCACAACTCGGCCAGCCCAGAGAGGCCCTGCTGTGTTCCACAGAAGCCCTCAGGGACAGCTCCATCCTGTGCCTAGCCCAAGATAGCCTGGCACCCAAGCATGATGTGAACTGCTCAAAGCAAAGGAAGACCATCTGCCCTAGACTTTGCTTTACATAGCACAGCTCCCTAAATCCAATTTGATTCCACAGCTACCATCTGTGTATGGCTCCCGATGGACTTGGCTAAGGGACAGAGAAGCTCCTCTCCATGGGAGTCCAGTTGTAGAGCAAATAGGGAGAGGGAAGGCACTACCTAGTTTTTCTCACCTCCCTTCAGAGAATCCAAGCCAGAGCAATGCCCCCCAGCAGGACAGAGGCAGGAGGAAGCCTAGCACTGCCAGCAGGCCAGGACTGCTCTCCATAGACTGTCCTCTGGTGTCAGCCAGCCCTGGAAGGATCTGCAAATTCCATGCCTGGAGAGCCCTGGGTCCCTGGTCTGGCTGTAGGTAGCTTGTGGATTCTGACCCTTGAACACTAACTCAGACTGGTTGCCAAGACCCCGGGGTCCCCAGAAGTGACGCTGAGAATGAGGCTCATGGTCCTAGACTACACTTCTGCCTAGGCCCGTGTGTAGCACAGATGTGGAGTAGACAGTCATTAGAGCCACCAACCTCCCTGCAGGCACCTCAGGCTGCCTTTCTCCTGGGAGAGAAAGGTCACTGCTGCAGCCTCTGCCCTGTCACCTACTAGGGTTCTGGGAGCCCAGAGCCTCCCTTTCCGGGGTCACTCCATATTGTAGCCAGGTGACTGGCATTAATCTCATCTTAAAAACAAATCAGGCACTTGGGGCCCCTCTGTCTCTGCCAGACAGAAGCTTTCTTTCTCCAATAAATACACTCTGCTCCTTTAAAAAAAATAAATAAATAAATCACGACTTCTGCCTCTGGGAAAATGGAGTAGACACAGACCTCTCCCCTGCTCATCTCACCTGGTACAATTAATACCCTGAACATCATATACAAAGCAAGCAGAGGAAGACTCCAAAAGGTGCAGAACCCTCAGAATTGGTGGTGAGTTCCCCAGGTTTTCTTTTTGACTCCTAAGTCCCAGACTTGGAGCTGAAGAAGCCTGCAGTTTGGAAATGCAATGAACACAAACACAAAAAGTGCTCCATAGGAGCCAACTGTCTCTACCCAAAGGGCCAGAAAAGGGCAGCTCGTTGGGAGGGCAAACATCAGACGGAGTTTCCAGTACAGCCACCCTGCTCAGCCAAACGTCACAGGGAAACTGGCCGTGCCACACTCACTCTTTTCACCAAAGACCCAGTGCAGAGCCCAGAAGCCAAACCCCTGGGGGACCAGAACTACGGGGCAATCCAAGGCAAGGAACTGGGGCTTTTCTCTTCACCTCGTGGTTCACGAGGATCCCATTCCGGGCCATCTCTCATACAGACCACACCAGACATCCGGTCCCACCCTGCCCCGAGGCACCCTCCTCCTCCACTCAAAGGTGCCACCAGAGCACTGAGGAGCCACACCTAGAGCTCCCCACCTGAGAAAGTCCTTAGGTGCAAGGAGCCACGTTAGAGATGGCCTCACCGTGTGGAGGCCAGTGACCTCCACACACACTAGACCCGCAGCAGTGTCTTCCTGCTGGAGTGGAGCCACAGGAAGCCAGCCACGACTGAAGGCTTTTATAAGGCACATAATATTAAAAAGGTCCAGTCCTCAGGGGCAACCTTGGTGCCATCCCAAGCACAGGAGGAACACAAACTGAAGGAAAAAAGCCAACCAGACAATGTGAAGGTCACTTCTCCAGGCCAGCCGCACTGGGTCATGAGGTCTTCTGGTATTTGGGCAAATGGTATCTTAACTATTGCTGTGAGCATGGTATTTTTATTTTATAAGATTAGCATTTGAGTACACAGCATAGTAACAGAATGGAGGAATCATGAGAATCTCTGAACACCGAAAGAAAACAAACCACAGCAGACACAGCTGTATCTGATGGAGAACGGGACCCTGAAAAAGGCAGGATGCAAACAAAAGACTGAGCATCCATGAGATCAGAGTCCAAGAAAACAGGAGGAAAAGGAAAAAGCTGAGAAGTACTTGAAGAAATAATGACTAAGAACTCCCCAAACTTATCAAAAGGCACAAACTTATCAAACAGCTGAGCAAACCCCAAACAGGATCAAGCAATCACAGACACAACAAATGCAAATGACACCTTATCTATAAGGGAAAATGGACGAGGTGGCAGAAAGCTGAGGCAGAAGGATCACAGTGAGTCTGAGGCTAGCCTAGGCTACACAGCAAGACCTTGTCTTAAAACAACAGCAACAGCAACAAGAAGATTCTAAAGAATTCCTTTCAACAGAAGCCAGTGTGTGGAAGAAAGTGGCCCTAGGAGCTGAAAGAAAAGAACTGTTAATCCAGACATCCATACCCAGCAAAATGTACTTCAGGGCCCTTCTCAGATGGAAAACGAGGAGAATTTACCACCGTGGAGCACTCCTCACAGCACAGCAAACAAAATGTCTCTAAATAGAAAAGGATGAAAAAAGAAGCACTGACAATTAGGAAGAAAGAACAGGGACAGAGCGCAATTATAAACACTTTTATTTCCTCCTTTTGACTTTTCTAAATTATGACTGATGGCTGGAACAAAAACTACAGCGCTGTCTAATGCGGTTCTAAACATATGTAGAGGGAATGTTCAAGAAAAAGACACAAGAAAACCTTTAGGATTTAGGACGAGGCAGAGTTCTGAGATTTCACACTAAAAACCCGACCCACAAAAGGGAAAAATGAAACACTGGTCTTCATCAAAACTAAAAATGAGGGCTGGGGGGATAGCTCGGCAGTATAAGCACCTGCCTGGCAAGTGCAAGGACCTGGGTTTGACCCCCAGTACCACATGACACACGGGCCACTGAAACTGGGCATGGTGGCACATGCCTGTAATCTCAGCACTGGGCAGTCTGAGACAGGAGGAACACTATGAGTCTGGGCTATGTAGTGAGACCTTGTACCAAATAAATAAATAAAATATTTTTAAAAAATTTAAAAGGAGGGCTGGGGAGATGGCTCAGAGGAATCAGCACTTCTATGGCAAGAGCAAGTGCCTGAGTTCAATCCCAGTTCTGTCAAATAAATAAATACATAAAATTAAATAAAAATTTAAAAAGAAAAGAGCTAAAAATGAGCCAGGGAGGGCTGCAAGGAAAGCCAACATTTTGGCCCTAGCCTTCCAAGGTCAATTAAGACTCAGGACATATGAGAACTTGTACTGTAACGTCATGTAACTCGGCAGTGTCCCAAATTTTCTGATCAAGGAGATTATGGGGCCAAAGAGGAAAGTGATCGATGATGTAGAGTGTGCCTAAGGAGAGTCACCTGGAGAGAAAACATTCTCTCAGGCTTTCACAGAGAGCCAAGCAATGGCCATGACTCATCCACATGGCTGACACTGATAAACAATCTGAAGTACAGGATCTCAGGATAAATCCTGAAAGGATTTCACTGACCTTCTCAGACCTAAAAGCTACAACTCTTGTTGCATAGGTCCTGCTTTACCTTGGTCTTAACCACCCAGCAGAAAAGTATAAAAACGAAATATAAGAATTAAAGCCATGCTGTTATGTTGAGCTGTAGGGCACTCAGGTCAACAATTTCTGACACTGCCAGTGAAGCGGAAGCCCCAATACTATTCTGGACTACTGGACTCTTTTAGAATATTTTGCTGAGTTAACACACCTATAATATTCAAATAACGGAACTTAACAAAAAAAGGGTATACAGATGAATGTTCATTTTGTATCTGTGTATTCAAAGTGGTTAGGATAGATATATAGTTAGATTCTCTTAATGAATAGAGTGATTTGTTCTAATGGTATTTGTAGATAGGATATCATGTCTGCATCTTGTACAGCAATTAACCACTAGGAAGAATGTATACAATGTGTTAATTATTGAAACTGTCCTACCAATTTGATTTGAAAATCTCTCATTGCTATTTGTTTATCAATAAAATTATGGAAAAAAAATAAAAAAATAAAAATAAAAATGAGCCAGGTGTGGTGGTGCATACCTATAATCCCAGCTACTTGGGAGGCTGAGCCAGGAAGACCAAGTTCCTGACCAATCCGGAAGCTTAAAAGCCTGTCTCAAAAATTTTTTTAAAAGGTGGGGGAGAAGGCAGACAGGGAGACAAGGAGGGAGGGAATAGAAGGGTAGGGGATAAAAATGTTTGTTCTGTGCAAGACAGGTAAGCAGTGTGGAACAATAAGCTACTGACAAGGAGAGAACATCTGCAAACTACTTACTTGACAAGAAACCTGCATCTAACTCCAGAAGAAACCCTAGAAACTCTGAAGTAGAGAGACTGTGCCCACAGAACAGGGCAAAGACACGGAGAGCCACACCCCTGAAGAAGAAACACAGATGGCCAATAAGCAGGGCAGGATGCTCAGCGTCCTCAGCATCATGAGTCAGGAGAAACTGCAATGGTGTTATCAGCCCACGTCCATCAGAGTGGCGAAAATGCCTGCACAGTGTCACCAGCACAGTCTAATAGGACACAGAAGACTCCCCCACACTACTGGTGGGGTGTGCAAAGCCACAGCCCTCTGGGTAGCTGCAGTTTCTGAACCTCACATATAGCTCCTACCAACCCAGAAAATCGCAGCCTTGAGCATATTTGTCCCAGAGAAATAAGAAACTCATGCATAGCAATTTAGCTGGGAGTGGTAAGACACACCTATAATCCCAGCACTCGGGAGGCTGAGGCAGGAGGAGAGCAAGTTCAAGTCCGCCTGGGCAACCTAGCAAAATATCAAGACCCATCTCAAAATAAAAAATAAAGACAAGGGCTGCAGATATAACCAGGAGGCCCTAGGGTCAATCCCCAGTGACACAAAGAAGTGTACAACAACTCTTCCCATAATAACCCCAAACTAGAAACAACCTAGGGGGTCCTGCAGCAGCAACAAACAAACTGTGGTCATCCATACCACAGAACTCAGGGATGACACATACATGAGCATTTGTATAATCTCCCAAGAATCATGCCAGAGTGCAAACTGCTACACCAGAAAATACATTAGGTGTACTTTTACCTAAGTAATATTCTTGGAATGCTAAAATTAAACACACAGTGAGCAGACAAGCCAGAGAGAGGTGGCAGTGACAGCATCCATGGTGAAGGACTCCTGCCAACTGTGTGACACCAACACTCTGCCCATGGCAGTGGCTGCGCTCTGTGGTCATTAGCACTGCGAGAAAGAGGGCAAATGAGATTCTTCTCTGTTATATTCACAAGTCCATGTGAATCTCTCAAAATTTAAAAATTAAAGGCAAGCATGTTGGTGTGAGTGAGGACTACTGCAATTCTGAGGCCAGCTAGACTACATAATGAGTTCAAGGCCAGCCTGAACTACATAGTGAGACCCAGTCTCTAAAACATTTTATTTCTTTAATTTAAAACTCCACCAGAGAAGCAACCAGAGTGTTTGCAGAGCTTGGCATTTCTAGATGCTGAGTAGTGGTGTGCTGAAGATGGTTCGTGGAAGCCCGCATTCCCTCTCCGGCCAGCCAGGCCCTCAGATGCGAGCTGCACCCCGGCCAGCACCCAGACGGGCCTCAATGGCCCAGACCCTGGTGGCATCGTGGGCTCGCCTGCTGCTGTGCCCCAGAAACCTGGTCTGATGGCCCAGATGGCCACCACCACAGCAGGTATGGCTGTGGGCTCTGCCGTGGGGCACACAGCGGGCCACGACATCACAGGTGGCTTCCCAGGAGGCAGCAGCAAGTCCTCCAAGCCCGACATCACTTACAGGAGCCCCAGTGGCTCAGCTGCAGCAGCAGGAGACGGGCCTGCTACTCTGAAATCAAGCAGTCTCTGGAGGCGCGCAGAACCAGCCTGACGTGAGCTCTGGAAGGTTTCAACGAAGCGCTGAGGCAGTGCAGGTGGCAAAGGCCTCCTCTAAGCAGGAAGTTCACCCTGAAGCACTGGGAAGTCCGCCAAGCAAGTTACTTTAGCATAAATGTTACCAATACAAGAAGTGTAAAACCATTCAGCTCCACCTCTCCCTGTATCTTCAGCGCTTCAGAACAGACCTGGAAGGTGTTCCCACCACACAGGTGGGCTACATGTGATTTGTGGTTTTCGTCAAAAAAAAACCACAAAACTTCCAGTTCCCTGGAGCCTCACCTCCCTGGATTGCCTCCAACTGCTTAGCCCCTCTGAAAGGGTACATCCCGCCAGGACCTACTACCTCCACCCAGAGACTCCCCTCCCGTCCAGTCCAGTTCACTAACAGCTTCCTTCTGCAAGGCTCGGTTTCTCTTCCCACTGTCTTGGCCTCTCAGCAACAGTGGGCCCTGGGATCTCCTGGGGAAACTGCTCTGCTAATGTCACTGCCACTCACCTGAAAGCACCACCGCAGCCTCCTCCGGGGCTCCTTTCCTCCTGGCTTCCGAATATTGCAATTCACCCCTAGCCTCATCAACCAGGCGCTCTCACCCCATCCCACCACTCGAAGCACTGTCTGTGTGTCACGCGCCTCCTGCCCTGCCGCCCCTCTGAGCCCCCTCATACAGACCCCGCACTTGGATGGAAACAGTGACCGGCAACTCTGCAGAGCCCAAACAGAGTCTGGAGTTTCACCACCACCCTGCACCAGAACCGACCTGGAAGGGTGCCTCGCACCCAGTTCTCCCGCTGCTCTTCACGGCACCTCCTTCCCCAGGAGCCCAAGTCACAGCGTCACTGGCTCTTCTCCTTCTCTCACGCAACTCATCCAACCTGGAGCAGGTCCAGTTTGTGTAGCATCACCCCTATGTCTTAGCACTCTTCTCAGATCTGAGCAGATCTGAATCATCAACCAACATCCACCTCTCACCACCCCTCACACACAGCAGGGAAGCAATCTTCGTGCTCTTGGAGGAGAGTTTAAGACAAGTCCCACAACCTTTCTAGGAACTCCCAGGTAACAGAACACTCCACAGTAACAGTCTGAGTCAAACTGTCACAGCTGCTCCCAGCTGGCCTGCCACAGCTGGCCCTTTCAGTGTGAGAGGCAGGCAGGGACCTGCTGTTCCTCCACACCCAGCACTGTTCCTGCCTTGGCTTGCTGACCCTAACAGTGGCGCAGCAGGGGAGGGTGAACAAGGGAGCAGGCCGGTTCTTTCTTGCATGTTGCCATCCTATGATATTCTCATCTTTGGCTGACTCATACCCTACAAGGCACGTCAGCAAGTTCTGCAGTCCCATCAGATTCCACATCCTTGCAATGCTTAGGAGAGCAGCTTGGACCCTTCCCTACTCATTGCCCACTTTTCAGCAGAGGCTCTGAGATCCATCCCGTTCACCCTCCCCACAGCTGGGGCCCCGCTCCATTCTCCCTGCACCCCTGCTGCAGGCTGGTGGCTTCTGCCCATGGGTAGCCCAGGCACCACCACCTGGAAGATCATCTGGCTGAAGGGACCCCCTCCAAGCGAATCCTCTTCAAGCTTCTGTCTAGTCGGCAGTGACCTGCAGCAAGGAGGAATGAGCTGACCGGTTGCTGCCACCCACTCTGGTCTTACATGGTGCCAGATACACAGCTCACTGTCACTACTGCTTCCCGGGGCACCAACCAAACCTTCAACCAAATGTACCATTTATATGTCTGGTTTCTAGACCTCACAGGCCCTATCTCTCAGGGCCCTCTAATTGGTCACACCCAAGTCTTCCTCTTTCATAATGGCCTTTGCCGTTATCTGGATCCTATGTGCTAAACAACAACTACTCGGCCCTGTACAAGTGGTGTCCAATGCCCAGAGGCCCTGCTGAAACCTCTGTGCCCTTTCATGGCCAGTGCCTACAGCCCCAAGGTCAAGTTCCTGCCCATCCCTTCCTGGGGGTCCCAGACAAAGACGGAGGCCTCTACTACAGCCACTGGCTGAGTCCCATGAGGCACTGAGGGCCACAGAGACCTGGTCACACAGCCTTTCCTTTGGGCAGGGCTGGCAGGAACGTGGCCAGCTCAGAGCTATTTTTAGGTCTGCCTTTGTGAGAACTGCTCTTTGAATGGATGCAGAGAGAGACTACCCAAGCTCTCATGCTGCCTGTGCCCCTGCTCCTCGTTCCCTTGGTCACACAGGGACTGCCATCAGACACAGCTCTCAGCTGGGAGGGAATCTGGCTCCATGTACTCTAAGCCCATTTTGCCTAACTCTTCTACTTGTCAACAGACTCCAGAGATCAGTCCCCTAAGCATTTACCAAAGCATAGGACATAAAGTCCCAGCACCACCCCTTCCTCCTGTTCCTTAGCAGGCAGACACACAGAGGTCATGAGGACATTCAGGGCCCCAGGAGCACATGGCTCGAGGAGCACCCTCAGTGAACAAGAGGCTGGCTCTAGAAGGTAGCACGTGGTGCCCCAGCACAGCCTCACAACCCGAACACCCATGCAGAACATAACTTCCAGCCACCTGAAGAGCCCACAAGCCGGGTCACTTCCTTCTCTACCGTGAAAGGCCCCCAAAGCAACAACTTCCTTGTTCTCCCACCCAGGTGGCTCACGAGCCTCTCACAGGCGGGGCAGGGGAGGTCTTCACATCAGAGTCGCCAGTGCCCACCAGGATGGCCCAGGGAGAAGCAAAGTGGGAGTGAAACAGGTTCCCACAGGTGTGTCCTTCACCTTCTAAGGGAGCCCCCATGCCCAGCTGGCTGGCACAGGTACGAGTGGGAGGAAACGAAAGAGGAACCCATGCTAGACAGACCAGATGAGCGAAAACCAAGTGCGCAAGGCATAGACTCGGACCCGGGCACAGCACTGCCAGGGCTTCTCCTGGGCCTCAGCCCCATGCTGCCCTAAGCCTCTATCCTGCCCCCCAACTTTACCTGTGGCCTAGATCCAAAGAGACCCCAGAAATCACTGGCCCTGACTCCACCCCGAAGACCCCAGCAGGACTGGTGTGGCTCATGGTTCACAGTGAGTTGCAAGCAGATCGGAGCAAATTACTCAGTCTCTGTGACGCCAGTGTACCGTCTTCACCGTGAACTCCCAGACACCACACACAGGCGTCCACGAAGCAGGCCCACAGAAGCACAGCTGCTGCCGCTGCTGCCTCCATGAGCACCAACACCAACGACATCTTCCCTGAGATTTTCTGGGCTGACTTCCACCTCAGCCCTTAGCCGGAGCCCCAGAATGACCTGGGCTAAAGTTAGGGCTGAAACTGACAATGGGGCCCTGTGACAAAGCTTCTGGATAAGGGCCCCTTACCTCATTCAAGGCAAGGGCAGGGCAAGGATTGAGCAGAGGACCTTAGTTGAAAGCATCCCCCAAATGGGACTCTAGCGCTCAGCACAGGGGCTCCACCCCACTGGGAGGACAACAGGGCAGGGCCCACTCCCGGCCACTTACGTTGTAGAGGATGTCTGTCCAGCCCTCCATGGTGATGCACTGGAACACAGTCAAGATGGCAAACAGGATGTTGTCAAAGTTGGTAATACCAAAGTTGGGTCCCGGCCAGTACTCCCGGCACTCAGTGTCGCCCTCACAAAGCCGGGCTGGGGCCTCCCTGCCACAGGGGAAGTCACCCACAGGCTCTGCATCTGTGAAGAGGAGAATGAAGAGAACACACTCTCCACCCTGACGAGGACTCTGGGCTCTGGAGAGCTCACTGCAGGTGGCCTGGTGCCAGGAACTCCCCACTCTCTCTGATACTTGCACTGAATCTCTCCTCTTGCCAGCAGGCAGCCTTCTCAGACTCCCTGGTTAGTCTCTCCCTTAGTTCTGGAACCAAACCAAACAACCACCAGCCTCCAATGCTTCCTATCACGACCACCCTTTTTGCTCCTTGCCTGCACAGCCAAATCGCCGGAGCCTCCTGACGTGCAGATCTGCGTGCCACTCTATAGGGAGCACAGCCGTGCTGGTCACCAGGCAGGACTCTACCACCACAGAACAGCTGCGATAGCCCACCTGTGGCCAGACAGGGGCTGGGACCTCCAGCCAGGCTTCTGGGCACTGCCACAGCAGGTGGGGACCCTGTACCACCTGCATCCTGGAAAGCACCAGGGGACCGAGCGGAGAGGGTAGGGAGCACCGGAATACTGCTGCTACCTCACACCAGACACAAGTGCTCTTCACTCACAAAAGCCCACTGAAAAAGCAGGAATTTTTTTAGATATGTAACAACGCAAAAAAAATTTCTTTTATTAACATAAAAGAAATTTTGAGGAATTGTTCAGATGAAAGGCAAATACTTTCAGAGTTAAAAGGAAAAATTGACCACAAAATTTACTTCTCTCCAAATATTTTAATAAATACTTATAAAGAAGCCTTTGCGTGTTTATTTATAGACTGCATTATCTGTGGACAATCACAAGTTTTGTTGTTTTCTTTTTCTTTTTCTTTTTTTTTTTTCCCAGCACTGAGGATTGAATCCAGGGCTTTAGCCCGAAATACATTTCAAGCCTTTTCTTTTATTTTATTTTATTTTATTTTATTTTATTTTATTTTATTTTATTTTTAGGTAGGGTCTTGCCAAATTGCAATCCTCCTGCCTCAGCCTCCCAGAGTGTTTGGATTACAGGGGTGCATCACATGCCCAGCTTCCTTCCTCTTCTTCAATCCTGGACAAAATTTCCCTTCTTTCTCTTGTCCCCTGCCACTGGTCACAATCAAAACAGCTGCATAGAGTGAAACTGACCATCTGTATCCTGCCTTGCTCCTGACTTTAAAGGAAAAAGCTCTCGATGTACAATCAAGTTTGCGTTTGAAGAAAATGGTTAAGGAATTCATCTCTCTCTCTTTTTTTTTTTTTTTTTTTTTTTTTTTTTTTTTTTTTTTTTGGGTGGAACCAGGGATTGAACTCAGGCCCCTGCGCTTGCCAGGCAAGCGCTTATTCCACTGAGCCATCTCCCCAGCCCCAAGGAATTCAACAATATTACCGGTTATTTCTAGTTTGATAATAGCTTTTCTTAATCATGACTGATTTAAAATTTAGGAAAAGCTTTTGGTATCAAAGTGATAGTCATTTGAGTTTTCTCCTTCAGTATGTTCACAGCTCAGACACAAACCTCAGAGTCTTAACTGTTCTTTCTCTCTTATCCTTCACATACTCAGAAAATCCTGTAGCTTAAGGTAGGTCGTTTAAACCACCTCTACCAAACACCAGCCCAGGCTGACATCTCTCTCCGATACCCTCTTACACACTGGTTTCCACCTTTGTCTCCTCACAGCAGCCAAAGAGACCAGACGAGGCCATAACTCGCTCAGAGCTCTTCACTGTCTTCCTATTTTCCCAAGAATAAGACTCAAGTTCTTATGGGATGCAAGAGCAGGTTACCCTGGGAGGGAAAAGCCGAGGATCCTACAAAGTACAGCAGCTCATAACAGACACAACTTATTGGCAAGGTGGGGCTGCTCTACTCTCCTCTAAAACCAGAGCATTTTTTTTACTTGTCATAGGACATGAGTGAGTCGAGGCCATAGGAATCAGGCAAAGGAAGTCATAAGCTCATAATCCTGGATACAGGTCAGAGCCCTTGCCTGTTCAATGTAAAACAAGCAGCCAACTAATGCAGATCTCTCCCTGTTGTCTCTGCACCTCACCTGGGGCCTTTGCACTTACTGTTTCTCGTAACTAAGATCTTCGGCCAGGCAAACACACAGCTGATTCTTTTACTACTGTTCAGAGTTCTGTTCAGTTGTCACCTTAACAAAAAGGTTCCCCTGGCCACCCTGTATAGAGCAAGCCCCAAATTATTCTATTTCAAATATATTTTTGTTTCTAGCCTAGCAGACACTATAATTTGTATTATTTCATTTATGTACCTATTTACTTCAGTTTATATCATTGTTTGTGTCTTTCACTAAAATGTAGGCTCCATCTCACTTGTCTAGGACCTAAAAGGTCCCGGCAGCATCTAGAACTGCGCCTAGGTCCTAGACAAATGAATGCATAGTCTATCCAAACCGAAGGGGTGCTACTGGACCTCACCTGTGCTGTTGGGGAAACAGGCCTTGTGGAATTTGCCCATGTAGAACTCGAGGCCGATGATGGCAAACATGAGGATGGCGAAGAAGAGAAGCAGGCCGATCTGCAGCAGTGGAACCATGGCCTTCATGATCGACTTGAGCACCACCTGCAAACCTGGGAGCAGAGCAGGCAGAGCAGCGAGGGTCAGACACCAAGGGAGGCAGCAGGGAGCAGAGCAGGCAGAACAGGGAGGGCCAGACACCAAGGGAGGCAGCAGGGAGGGCCAGACACCAAAGGAGGCAGCAGGGAGCAGGGCAGGCAGAGCAGGAAGGGCCAGACACCAAGGGAGGCAGCAGGGA